AAAGCTTATCGTTTAAACGAAGAATCACATAGGACGCAAAACTACATTCGTGTCTTTCGCTTTGTTTTAGTTGGTGAACAAAAACTATTGCTGTATTGTTTATATAATTGTTAATCCTTTAATAATTTATTCGAGACTTCGCGCGAATGTACCAATGATCTATTGTTGTCTAGAAACCCCCGAATAAAATCCCGGAGAAGATATCGAATTCACTTACACAGTTTATCTATCGAAGGAAAAGTTTCTTATCCGGTGGAAAATAAAATCTTCCATAAGAGTCGAAAGCAAAGAACAGAGAATAGTGTTTACACCGTGTCTTGCAATTTCACTTGCTTCGTACGTGAAGCCGCTTTACTGCCAAATATGTATAAGTCTTTTTTAGATAAAGCGCCAGTAACGATGATCTGAACATAACTATTCCAAGGTGTTACATTCAATACAGATCAAAAAATGACCTCACACAATTTACCCAAACAAATGGTTTTCACAATCGATCGAGAAAGGAAAGCACAATATTTATATCGTTCCCATGCTGCGATCCACGCTTGTACAATTTAGCCTTCAAATTCTACAACCCTGTGTTTACATGTGAAGGAAACTGCAGATAAACTAGAATTAGTTTACTATCAGTTGACGAGTTCGATAATTCTACAACCAAATGGCAGCTAGTGCCCTTTCTTGAAGTACTTCATCATAAGCAGTCAATTAAGCGGTTTATTTAAGCCCAAGGAATTCGAATCAACACTACATCTTTGAGCAAAGAGCCCAAAACTTAAGCTACAGAACTGACCTTGCCTTTACTGTCAGCTGCAGATGGATGAAACGGGCGAAAAGCCATCCTTCTACCACACTTGAGTACTCGATCGAGATAATCTGTCGATGGAACAAAGTACTAGCTGTATCGGTGGCGAATGTCACGCCTGTGTCACGCCTGTGTCACGCCCGTCTAAGGTACGACTTACCGCCACGTGCATAGGCTTCCGCGAAAACTGTGGACAGCAATAAATTCATTCTTCTGGTCAAGGGGCACGAAGATCGAAGAAATATCGGGGTGAAAAAATAAAACAAAACAAAAGAGGATTCCGGAAGATTTCCTCGATTACCGGTTCCTGTTTTTCCAGACAAGACTTGGCGAGAAATGGGGGAGGAAAACAGGAGAACGGAAATCGCTTTCATAATTTTACTACATGGGCAGCAGTTAATTATTGTTTTTTCACACATACAGTCTGCGAACTTTCAGGGTATTCCTTAATTGCTCAGTAGGAAATTTAATGTAAAGAAACATAAGGAAGGCTTTTGCTTTAAGAAAAAGAGTTCGTTTGAGATAGCTCTGATTATTGCCTAGTCTAATCTTTCATTAAATCAAAAATAATTTTTCATTCGTCGGAGATAGGTTCGACGTGAATAACTTTCTGTATGGTAAAATAAAATTCATCGCGTTCTTTGCAGCCCTTTCCCAAATCCCTAGCTTCAATGCGACATTTTATTACAATGCTCTAATTACTCGTGATTAGGTGGGGGGGGGGGGAGGGATAGGGACAACGGCATAAAGATTAGAATCCTTCACATCCCTACTTTGCATATACTCCCGGGCCCCTTCATGAGGAAATACAACATGTTAAGGACTTGTGACGAATGTTTGTATTGTTACATTCCTCTTAGCTTAAAGTATTCAATGGGTCCTAAGCGGCTCCTGTTTCCTCTCTAGTCTGTTGCTCCCCCCTCCACTTCTTGTTTTTCCGGGATTTCGCCCCCTCAGTAACCCTCCACCCAGATCCTAGGTAGTCCAGGGGATATGATTACCAGGCTGGCATGTCGTAAATTAAAAAAGAAAATCGTAAGAGTGTTTTCCGGACGACCGTCTGCTAGAAGTGTTTTCGACTCTACTAGTGGCAAATCATTGTTCACTCATGCAAGTCTCATTTCTTTCTTTTTTTTTTTAAGCGAGGGTAATGAAAGATTATTACAAAGCGTAAGGGTGCTTTTAAATTCACCCTAACGTACTGGTTTTTATCCAAGACTAAAGAGACAACAGTGGCTATCAAAACAAAGAAAAAGCCGCAATTTGGAATCTTCACCAGCACCAAGCTCGAAAACTTTCAGAAACCAGGAAGTGTTCAGCTTTAACATTGCTTCTGCTTGGTTAGATAGGGTGTTACGAGCAAACTAATTATACAAAAGTGAAAAGTACTGAGACAATTTTGGAATGATTACGAGTCTAAGATGGAAAACCTCTCGACAGAAAATTAAATAAAATGAGCCGTGAAATCAGCTTGCTTATCAGTCACCTGAGAAATTATCGTAAATCATTGCCATCTTAGGGAGTTTTTTTAAAAGATTATAAGTCATGGCGGAACAATGAATAAAACTCGGAGACCAGGCGTATGTACTTCTGGGGCGGATCCAGGAGTGGTTCGGTCGAACCCCCTAAATTTTCCCTCAAAGTGCTAGAAATCATGTTTCCTAAGACCTAATTTTCAAATCTCCGGGGGGAGCATGCCCTCGGACAATTCTCCGAACCCCCCATGACTAAGTCCTGGATCGCTCCAGTACTTTTATTGGCAATACAGTTCTTCACACAATATTGGGTAAAACAAAACTGCCTAAGTCGATTGAATCTTAGCGAAACGGTAGGAGGCAATACAAAGCTTTTTGTCGAATATAGAAAGAAAAAAGCACTTGAACCTTCTTTTAAAACTGCATATAGAAATTTTACTAGTCGTATGTTCCCTCGGATCCCACTCCAGCGATTTGCCTGCCAAGGCCGAAATTCTGTCCACTCTGCGAAGCTAATTTGTTGGTACCAGCTTGAAGACCAATGTGCCCTTCTCGGCCGGCTTTGACCTGATCCTCGGTGAAACCTCTTTCATTTTTCTCTGCTATCTTAGGTCCAAGGACGGGGCCGCTAAAACCTTTGTTTTGGGCCTGTTCAATGTTCCCAAAGAAAATAAGATGAAAACGTTTGAAAGGTTTAGAAGGATTAGATGAACGAAATATCCAAAACAATTTTTCCCCTTTTTTGTTTTCCGTTTATTTCTTTTTTAGAATTTGAAACTATGTACTCGCTATTTTAGTAGACAGGGAAACTCACCGTACTTCCTAACTGGCAAATTGTGTTAACAACCTTAAAAAGAAGGGGAGAAACACAGAAATGTCAACCTGACAAATGTAATCTTCCTCGTCAGCAGAAGTTTAAGAGACAACTTTTGGTTGTGGGTAAGTTTCTCTTTCTGTTTGTTTATCTCTGTGTCTCGAAGACTATCACTGAGTGTGTCCGTCTGTCTGTCTTCTGTTACACAGAAAAGATTTCTGGTCAGCTTTCTGGTCAACTTTCTGGTCAGCTTTCATTACGAAAAATACCGGTTTACAAAGATGATGTCGAAAATCAATACGAATGACGAAATATTTGTGTTTTTAGAGAGAAAAGAAAAGCAGGAGCCCATTATTCATTTCCCTCTTAATAAGTTAGGAGCTCCTGCTTCAACATGACGAGTTCTGTGCTACTAACACTTTCTTACCGCCATAACATTCTGTTTCTGGTACAGATATGGGGTCGAGAAACGGTCCTTAACGCCATATTGTTCACAAAAGGTTAAAAACTTCTCAATATTTTCTTTCTGTTGAAAGATAACACACACAAGGGCTTGGTGAACTCGAGCGAAAAAAAGGGGACGAGTGTGGGTTCATGCGATCCTTCGGTCAATTCGGTTCCACCCCGCGACTTACCCCTCGGTTACTCCGCTTTTTCGCTCCGTCCCCACAAATTTTGTTTCTGTATTATTTCATTTCAAAACAAGTCATTATTATGCACGAATACTGATAATACTAGTAATTACTCTAAGGCTAGTGCTTATTCTCTTCTTGAGTAAAAAAGACAAAGTAAGTAGTCGAACCAAGTGGCCAATCCTGTCTGAACTTATCCCGGTTTTCCTGGCATGAAGCGACAAGTAGTATTACCACTCCCCCCCCTGGATGGGTTGCCAGTCCATTGAAAGGTAATGAAGGTCAATAGCCTTCAATCTTGAGGTTGAAGAGAAAAGTTCCACTAAACGTGAGTCCCACAGGGAGAAGCCAATCCAGCGGTATAATAATGCCATTCTTACCTCTTTGGTTGCCCTCATTGCAGGATTTGAGACCTTTGAAGTATTGTTCATTTTGACAGCTCCGGGCTGAAGTTTGTTGGCGAGTCTGTGTCAAGGAAAGTTAGTTTTATCAGTAGCGACAGTTCAGCAAGGAGTTTTCTTTTTTCTTAAGGTCTTAAGGTCTTTACCCTTCTCGCAGAAAGAAGTTGGTTTCCCCTTAAAAGCAAGCTCTACTACGCGCAAACGTCGAGGATAAGAACTATTGATTAGTTGGACCATTTTCATTTGTCTCACTGTTAGACCGGATTTCTCGAGGGTAAAATAAAAAAAATACCCCTATTGAAATTCTCAAGGAGAATTCATATTTAGACTATTGGAGTGAAAGGGTGAACAAGAACCGGCTGGACGATCTTTGAGTGTCATCAGGACCCTGCTTCGTCTCCTACCCAGATCTCCCACGGTCTACTGAGTTGTGGAGAGGTAAAAGCGGGACACGAGTAAGATCTGAGAACTACAAATAAGAGCTTTATACCTCAATTCAAACTTAGTGATTTTTAGACAGCAGATCACTTTTCATTATAAAAACATACTTGCAAAGTACTTCGCCACTCTTCAAACCGTCTGCAAACGAACATCCGGGAGAGTCGTCCCTCTGTCCCCACTCGACCGGTTCCCCAAGAACGTCCTCGATCCAGTTCCTCGCCTCTATCTCCACGCCCTTGTCATACTTTGCATCGATCTGAAAATGACCATTTTATGTGTTTTGTTATCAGTAAGGGATGTAGATGTGTTTAAACCAGAACCAAGAGAGAGAGAAAGATGGGGGGATAATCTTAGCAATGCCAGAAACCCCGTTCAGGAAGAGAAGCATAACCACAAGGCAATTAAGTTTATCACGTACCCTGGCTCAGGTGAGCTGATTGCGACTAAGTGCGCAGTCAGAGGGTGGTTTGAAAACATTTCTAAACAGTTCTAAACAGCACAGCAGGAAATTTCGAATCAATCAATTTGTTTTTATTAAAAGCTGAGATAATAAACAGATTGAAAAACAAGAAAATACTTTCATGGTCCAATTCTCAAATCTTCATACGCATGATATTGAACATTGAAGGAAAAAAGTTATTAAAGAAAAGGTGATGTAATGATTAAAAGCTTAGCCAAATATTTAAAAGTGAAAACCAACTAATTGTGATCAACAGCTGTTAATTAAAAGACAGCACGTAACGTGATATTAGTTTGCTTCAAAATGTATGACAAGGTTCGGGATTTGATAAATAGAGGGGTACATCTGGATTTGCGATATTTTGATGTTACTCATTTTTCGATGAAAAAGATCCCGCTTTGCTGTATTGTGGCAATTTTAAATCCTGCGGCGAGCTTTATTTGTGCCACCCAAATATAAATGTAAGGTCAAACGAAACTGTTAGTGTTGTGGCGGTTTCTTGTTCAGATGGCCCTTGTGCAAAAATCGTTGACCTTTTTCGCGGTCGCCAAAACTAGATTTTAGACTAATGTTAGGGACAAAGATTCCAAAATATGTCAAAGAGGATTTGAAACAAGGGTTGCAAACTTCATAAACGACTTGAAATAAAAACAGATGCTCGGTCAGACCAAGACCGCCATCGACAGAATATCGACTTTACCCCGGCGGAAAACATGCAAGAACGTAGTATGACTTTGTGAAGTATGCATCTGTTTGTAAATTATGCATGGGTATAGAACATTTTGCTGTTTTGTCAAATTTTTGCGCGGTGATATGGTGTTTTTAGATATTTTTGCGGCGTCTCGGTATTCAGAATTCCTTAATTTCACCCTCCATGAGGTGTTTGAAAAATGAGGGAGAGAGCTAGTCAAGCTAAAAATTTCGAACATAGACCTAATGCACACGCGAATGGGGCTCCATAGAGAGATCATGTGATGCACTGAGCTCTTGGATATGAGAAGAAAAAGGCGGTGAGCATCATGCTTAAGCCACTTTGCGAACAGTGCGACGCGAACTATTCAGTCCTCTGGCGGATCACTCTGGGTGCCAGAGGGTTTTCTTTTTAGCAGCGAAGCCGCTATCGGTGAGCGTCGAAATTTTTCTTTTTTTCGCTCGCTAACGATCGCGGCTTTGTCGCTTACTGTTGGCGGCTTCGCTGAAAATAAAAAAGGAAAATATTTTCTGGTACCCAGGATAACTGACGGATCGGATCGAATTCGAATAAACTGTTAACTGTTTAAAAACAATTAGTGAAACAAAACTAGCTAGACTGGTGATATGTTTTTTAAACTCTTACCCTCCTTTGGACTTCTGCTGAAAGACCATAGGACCTTCCCTTTGCCTCTGCCATCATTGTTTATTGTGTACCTCTAAATACAAAATTTCTGTTTTAAACGTGTTTAATGCCAGGAACTCAGTATCGATTAGCTGTCGACAGCCGGGCACGCAGCACAGATATGCAACGAATGAATACTGTACATGACTTTGATCAATTGATAACTCGTTCGTTTCGCTACAGTTGTTTTTAGATAAAAGGATTCGAGAAGGCTACTTCGATTCAAATCTGTTCACCATTTCTTGCTTGTAAGTAGTTAATAATGTCCGAGTAGTTAGATTATCGATGATAATTTATAAGACACATAATATTAATCTTTTTTACTCGGATGTTTTTTTCAATTTTTTTTTTTCATTTTACGTCGCGAGAAATAACTGTGGGCTGGCTGTGTCGTCGACCTTTTATGGATATTTAAAAGCTGCTGGATTCCTTGAGACTCGATTGTGCTTAGTGGCAAAAACTGAAGCAGGACACTTGAACAAATGCGTTAACCTCAGTCATTCCGTTGAAAAGTACTGAGAGCCATTTTGAGAGTGCCCAGTGCATGCCCATAACTGGGAAACTCTTTCCCATGTTTAAATTTTTAATTTGAATATATCAACAAAGTTGAAATGGTAAATTGGCCACCGTTACGATTATAAAAGCTGACGTTT